CAGGCTGCCCCGCGTATTCTGGGGGGGGCAAAATTCCGCTCAAAAGCATTACTGCTAGGGGCAAACTGAGCAAGAACACCAAGGCGACCCCTGCCACGCTATCCGTGAATTTCTGCAACATCAGGGGACTTCACTCTAACCTAAACGCCGTCCACTACCATCTCGAGACGGCGAAGCCGGCCTTGCTCTTTCTGACCGAGACGCAGGTTTCCTCTCCGGCTGATATTTCGTATCTCTCCTACCCGGGGTACAAATTGGAGCATTCCTTTGTGCCTCGGGCTGGAGTTTGCGTGTATGTCAGAGAGGACATCTGTTCTCGACGCCTCGGCAGTCTTGAAGGTTCGGACCTGTCCATCCTTTGGCTACGCGTAGACAGCGACGACCATCCGCGCGTCTACGGGTGCCTCTATAGGTCCCATAGCGGTAATGCCGAAACAGACCGACTCATCGACCACGTCCAAATGGCTACAGATTTCTTGCTACAACAGGTCCCATCCGCAGAGATCGTGATCCTTGGCGATTTTAACGCCCACCATGCCGAATGGCTCGGTTCACGTCGAACCGATCATGCGGGGAGATCTGTTTATGACTTTGCCTTGGCATATGGTCTGACACAACTGGTTACTTCGCCTACGCGGATTCCAGATGTGGAGGATCATACACCTTCCCTGTTGGACCTTCTGCTGACCTCTCATCCGGACGGATATCTGGTTTCCGTCGATGCCCCTCTCGGCTCTTCGGACCATTGTCTGATCCGGTGTGTGGTGCCACTCACGCTCCCTTCGCGGTTGCGTTCTGCAGGTTGCCGCCGTGTTTGGCATTACAGGTCGGCGGATTGGGACGGAATGCGGTCCTTCTTTGCATCCCACCCATGGGGGCGGGTTTGCTTCTCGCCGGATGATCCCAGCGCTGTTGCTGACTCTGTCACTGATGTGGTGCTACAGGGAATGGAACTATTTATTCCATCATCTGTGGTACCCATCGGAGGCAGATCTCAGCCTTGGTTTGGTCGCTCCTGTAAGACTGCATTACGCAGTAAGCAGGAGTGTTATCAAGCCTGGGCTGCGGCTTCGGCGACTCGGGATGTAAATACCAGCACACTTAAAAAGAAGTATAATTTCGCCTCCAGGTCCTTCAAAAGAGTTATTGCCAAGGCAAAGTCAGAGCACATAGGCAGAATTGGCGAGAAACTAGTTCGCCTTCCTTCGGGAACCCGTGCATTCTGGTCTCTCGCCAAGGCTGTCCAAGGGAATTTCTGTAAGCCATCACTACCATCTGTGCACAGGGAGGATGACTCACTGGCCCATGACGCAAAAGACAAAGACGACCTTTAAGGCTCCCTTTTTGCGTCCAACTCGACTCTTGATGACGGGGGGAAAACACCGCCGACCATCCCGCGGTGTGAGTGCTCCATGCCGGATGTGCTGTTCTCACAGCGCTCGGTTCGCAAAGCACTGCTCTCCCTGGACATCCAGAAGTCGAGTGGGCCTAACGGAATCCCCCCAATTGTGCTGAGGACGTGTGCTCCGGAGTTGGCACCGGTCCTAACTCGTCTTTTCCGGTACTCCTACTCCCAAGGCGTAGTCCCGAATTCATGGAAGACAGCTTTTGTCTACCCGATCCCTAAGAAAGGCGACCGCTCAGACCCATCCAACTATAGGCCTATCGCGATCACCTCCTTGTTCTCCAAAATAATGGAATCCATTATTAACTGCCAGCTCATCCGGTACCTTGAGGATCACCAGCTGATTAGTGACCGCCAATACGGTTTTCGTCGGGGTCGATCAGCTGGTGATCTTCTGGTCTACCTGACCCATAGATGGGCGGAGGCAGTAGAGTCCAAGGGGGAGGCGTTGGCCGTTAGTCTGGACATTGCGAAGGCCTTCGATCGGGTTTGGCACAAAGCGCTTCTTTCGAAGCTCCCTTCCTATGGGCTTCCCGAGAAATTGTGCAATTGGATCACCAGCTTCCTTGTAGATCGGAGCATCAAGGTCGTTGTAGACGGTGCATGCTCTGACTACAAGCCTATTAACGCTGGTGTTCCACAAGGCTGTGTGCTATCACCAACGCTGTTTCTTCTGCATATCAATGATATGTTGCTAACTGGTAACATTCATTGCTATGCGGATGACAGCACTGGTGATGTTCTATACACCGGCCGTGCCAATATTTCCCGGGAAAACGTCGCTGAGTACCGGAACAAACTTGTGTCTGAAGTCGAGTCTTTGCTGAACAAAGTCTCGGATTGGGGGCGACTAAATCTAGTCCAATTTAATCCTCAGAAGACACAAGTGCTCTGAGGAATTGTTCGGATTAATCCCAGCCGCCAAATTTCACGAACGCACATCGCGGCAGAACTCCCGATACCATCCACACCATCTGGATGATTGGCGGTCCACCACTGTGCGATTTAGAAGATGTTTTCTTCCTCGCACGACCTCCTTGTGGAATCGATTACCATCAGCGATTTTTCCGGACCGATACGACTTAGGGACCTTCAAGAAAAGAGCGTACTCCTTTTTAAAAGGCCGGCAACGCATCTGCGATTCCCCTGGTGTTGCAGTTGTTCATGGGCGGCGGTAGTCACTTACCATCAGGTGAGCCGCATGCTCGTTTGCCCCCTCTCCTATATATAAAAAAAATGCTAGCACCATTATCCATCAGACTGGCAAAGAGTCCCTGCAAGCAGAAATCAAAAGTGAAAAAGGCAAAAAAATCAGTCCCGGTCCCCTTCGTTGGGAAAAATACAACTATCAATAGATTTAGCGGATTACCTATTAATCTCAAAGAAGCTGTGAAAACGACACCAGAAAAACGGCCTAGTAAACCACCACCCATAATATTATACGGCATTGAAGACGTTAATGAACTTGTAGAATTGCTACAGACCATAGCCGACAAGGACAGCCTTACAATAAAAATTGTCAACAGAAATCAACTGAGGGTTATATGTGTGGATACAGCAATATTCAAAAATGTTATCCTCTCAGCTGTGAGAAACTTAAATTGAAAATTGTCATGTCTGTGTGGCTGAATTCAGCCACATCACAGACTCGGGTTATTTTTGGCCCTAAGTTTATAAAAACCGTAATTTCTCCAGTTCTATTTTAAATTAAGGTTTTATTTTCTTATCCATTACTCAGAATTAGTTTCTGTTCCTATTTCTTTACATCATATCAACTGCAATATTATAATAAATCTGTTATACTACATCTAAGTTGGGGCACATAAATTCATATTTATTTCTATATAAAAAATAAAATATAAACAAATGTTTGATTATAATAAGCATTTAATTACATCAACAGTACATATTTTAACAGATCTATTACATAAACCCAAGGCTCTACATACAAATTTTTTCAGCAAAATAATGTTCAAAACTTTAATTCTAAACCAATTACTCTCAGGCTATACAAAAGTGACCTCCACATTTTAACGTATATTTATGTAAATAAACACTTATGAGTGTTGAAGAAGATTTGTACAGTAACTTGAGCTTCAAAGGTAAACAAAATCACAAGTGGTCCATGAGTACGGTCACTGGACGTAGAATAAGAGTTACACAAAAATGGGTCCATTTTTTTTACTTAGAAATTAGTAGTTACAATAAAATAATTTCTGAATGATTAAAATGTTTGTTTGGACAAACTGTTATATTTTCAAGATATATATTTAACTAGCTTTAATCTGAATTAAAAACCTTGCAGGGTTTCTAAGAAATTTCATAAAATCAATGCTAACAAAAACAATAAAAAAACAGTACAAAAACATACAAAATGTGTCAAAACTAATGTGGTTAAGACTAAGATTGATTTGTTTCAAACAAAATATTTCCGATATTATCAATAGGTGAACATGCTGCATATTACCTTAATTTCAAGATAATTCCACATTTTTTTTAGTTTTTTCTTTGTATTTGTAATAAAACTGAGTAAAATGAGTAATAGCAAATATAGTAGTAAGTAAATTATTCCCGTTGTTCTACTGCTCTTACGGCAGAGTAGCGTAGTGTTTGGTGGTCCTGCCTCATACCCCGAAGGTCCCAAGTATATATATCCATTTGTGTGTTGAATATAGTGGTTATTCTGGGTTCCCCCTAGTTTGCTGTATGGTTATCCATAACACAAACCCTGCTTACTTTGGGACCATATTACAGTTGGTGTGTTTGTCTGGGGATTTATTTATTTATTAATTCCCCTTGAAATAGCAGCATTTACTTTTTTTATTACGAGAGGGGGCAAACGAGCAAGCGGCCCACCTGATCGTGACTACTGCCGCCCATGAACCATTGCAACACCAGGGGAATTGCAGATGCGTTGCCGGCTTTTTAAAAAGGAGTAGGCTCTTTTCTTGAAGGTCCCTAAGTCGTATCGGTCCGGAAAATTCGCTGGTGGTAATCGATTCCACAAGGAAGTTGTGCGAGAGAGAAAACTTCTTATAAATAGCACAGTGGTGGACCGCCAATCACCCAGATAGTATGGGCCATCCATACATTACAACTTTTATCGCGATGTGCGATGGTGAAATTGAGTGGCTGGAATTAGTCCGAACAATTCCGCAGAGCACTCTCCGTGGTAGATGCGATAAAATACGCAAATATATGCAAGCAGTGCAGCGCCAGTGGATCGATCCGATGGAAAAGGTCGTCGACAGTTCGAGCCGCTCTGCGCTGGAAGCGGTCAAGTGGAAGGAGCTGGAACTGGGGAGCCTCAGCACAGAGATGTGAACAATATTCCATGTGAGGCCGAACCTGCGCTTTGTAAAGTTGCAAGCGGTGTGCCGGCATAAAATACTGTCCCGCTCTGCTGAGCACGCCAAGCTTTTTAGAGGACAATTTGGCTTCCTCTTCCAAGTAACCACAAAATTGCACGTCACTCGATATCTCGACGCCAAAGATTCCGATGCTGGCTAAAGGCAACAAGGGTAGTGCCTTGAAACTGAGGAGTATTTAGACGGTTATTAAATATTGGCCCTAAATGCTATGTCTGAAATAATTGTCACTGTGCAGTGTTCCTGTAAAGTTTGGTATGGTAAGGCTTGAAACACGAGAAAACGCAAAGCGGCTTATTGCACCCTTTGCAGTACGTCGTGACACGCTTTCCGCACTCGGCGCAATTGCGACGATAGCGGTTACCCTTATTAGCTTTCTCAGTCACAACGTACTGTTGTGGATAGTGCACGAAACCTTGTGTATTGATGTCTGTTCCGCTGTGTGTAATATGGGCCAAAGTCCTAGGTTGTGACGTAGTGTGATTCGACAATAACTGAACCACCAACGTTTTACGAAAACTTCGGTGATTCATTGATTGTTGGGACTTGTAAATTATGTAAGCATTTAAGATACTTACATTTAATAACCGCCTAAATAACTTTTTGTACCATACTTTCGTTCGTTTTCTTTCAAGGGGGAACATAGCTAACATCTGATCTTTACGATCGACACCACCCATGCAAATATTGTAATCATGGATTACTGTTGGTTTTAGTGTATCACCGCACTTCATGGTTGCTAGTCCATGGTATGTCGAAATAAGTGCCACGCGATTCTTATCCCGCCATACCACAAGATCTACATCCCCTGAAGTGCAGCCACTCACCTGACCGACAGCCATATTTTGCTTCGTAAGTGTTGTCAGTTCGACGGGAACACACTGACGATTTGTACGTAACGTCCCCACGCAGTCGAACCCACGACACTTCAACTTCGCGCGAGCGCAGGTGAGTTGTAAAAGTTGTCCATCCATATGCAGTGGCCTTTGTGCTCAAGACCAGTTAACAGTCTGAGCACAATGGATGGAACAACACCGGAAACTGGAGTATCGTCCTGTGGGTTGGGCTCTTCGTGTCCTGCGTGAACTTCGAAGCGCCACAAATAGCCCGACTTGGACTCGCACACTTCATATGTTTTAATCCCCACTGCCGCCGATTTATTTTTAATAAATTGATTTATTTCTAACCAGCCCTTCCACATTGTTAAGCTTTCATCGATTGCAATATTTTGGTTTAAACTATATAATTGGGAGAATTTGAAATTTAAATTGTCTATAATGGGCTGTATCTTAAAAAGTTTGGCCTGCGCACGGGTCATTAACATGAGATTGCATGTATCGTTGTTATTAAAATGAAGACACCTGCTCAACAGTATAAAGAGATCAAAATACATCGCTGTGGTGAATGCTGGAGTACTGAAAATGTCTTGATTACAATTCCAATACTCCTCTATACGTGTTTTCACTACAATTCCGGTCGCTTGAGTTATGGCGAAAAACACGTACAATTCATCCACAGTTGTATCATGCCATTTTGTGATGCGGCTATTGGGGTGCAAAGTCCCTGTTTGCATCATGATCACCGCCAACTGTTGAGCATAGCGGTTCGTCTCTACAACGATTTTCTTCATAATCTCCTGGTCCCAAATTGCAACGAATGCTTCATATGGACTATAACTGTGCCAACTAACAGCATTGTAGCACCTAGGGTCTCTGAGCACAACCGCGGACGGGCGGACATGGCGAAACTATAAGGGTTCCTTGTTGCGTAACTATGGAACCCAAAAAAAGTCAACATGATTGCAAACAATCTGGCCGCCATCTTTACTCCTAATAAAGGCAATAATACTGAGTTCGAGAACGAAGTCGAATGCACTCTGCAACAGAAACTACAACTATCCACTCAATCAAGACCAGTCATAATTGGGGAACTGAAGAAGACCATAAATGGACTACAAAATAAAAGAAGCCCCCGGATTCGATCTTATCACAAAGGAGGTTATCATGCAACTTCCCAGGAAAGCATTGATGTTTTAGTCATTCTCTTCAACGGCTTGCTTCGAGTTTCGAGTACAATATTTGTAGTGTTATACTACTTACGTATCATTTTACATTATTTTAAATTCATTTTTCCATTCTGTTTCGATTTTCTGCATTCACCTCAAAACTGGATATTTTACATCACCTTTATTTCCATAGGATCCTGTAACGATTTTAAACCATAAGAACACAATAACAAATCATTTCTACTTCGTATTTTCACATTATCAGCACTTTTAAATTGGTGTCAATGGAGTCTACCTTTTTTCGATCTTTTAGCTAGTTTTCCGTAACTCTACAATCTTGGACTTTGTGTGGGCAGTTGCGCTACCTTTTTTCCTATATCAATAATATCTCATTTTCCACTTAAATCTTACCGTTTTCTTATTATAAACCAAAAACAAAAATTTGACATATTTTGTCTTTCTTATTTATATCGTTTCCATAGTAATTATATTCAAATTTGCTACCGATCTGTTGTTCCTATTTCTATAATTCCACATAAATACTCTTTTCTCTTGACCATTTACAAAAAATTTGCGTTTAATTTAAATAATTTTTCCGTTCTCTCTAGAAAGGTATAAAAGCCGAACAATCGGTGAAGAAAGGCAGTCTCGCTTCAGTTCGCGAATTAGAAGTATCTCCTAAAGGCCTTATCCCGGGGCCGCACTGCCCCGGGATCCTGCAAGCCTCCATTTACACGTGAAGTCTTCGGCGAGGCCTTCTTCAAACTCGGGCCGCGCCACTCCGGAATCCTACAAGCCTCCATCTACCTCGGAAGTCGCTTCGAGTCTACTACAAGCGCGGGGGCCACACTACTCCGGGCACTACTACTACTTACTCCAGGCGCCGAGTGCACCTACCGCCGGCGCTACCTTTGGGCGCTGCAACTGCTGGCTCTAAGCGTTGCGCGCCCCTTCTCCAGGCGCTACGAGCGCCGGCTCCGGACGCTGCGTGTACTGGCTCCAGGCGCTGCGCGCCGTCGCTGCTAAGAAACCTACTTCTACAAGCGCAAACGGCGAGTGCTGGCTTCAGGCGCTGCGTGCCGTCGCTGCTAAGAAACCTACCTCTACAAACGCAACGTGTGTCGCTTCGACTTTTAGGCCCCACTTCAACGCTATATTCCCCTATTCTCTCACCTTTATTTTTTTTTTATAATCTAATTGTACTCTCACTTCATTCATCATCATCCTCATTTCATTTTTTTATAAAATTGTATATACCTTTTATAAATTTAAATATATTGTTTTCTGGCTCTACTTTTGTTGTTTTGTTGTACTTAGGTTAGGTTCTATTTTTTTTTTAATTGTCGCTTCACGACATATTTTCCCAGTTTATGGAACGTATCCATTGTAACAATGATAAATAAGCCTGGAAAATTTCCAGGAGACTCATCATCATATAGACCCATAAGCCTTTTGCCTGTGCTTTCTAAGATGTTTAAGAGGGTCCCTCTGTCGACTATTTGTATTGTTAACGACCGCTGGATCAGTTGCGCGGCCAGTTTTTTGTTTTGGTGGTCTAGAATTTGAGTATTTGTGCGCGTCTAATTTACTATTGAATATTTGGGTTTCGTGTAGACCGCCTCGAATTGCTTGTCTAAGTTGTATGTTTCGTGACAAGAGGCTTGTATTAAATTTGAGTGATTAAATTTGTTGGGTGGAACGCTGAACTTTGTGACCCGAGAAGAGATCGCGTTCTTGCTCGTGGTTATAATTTTGTTGCTAAGTAAAACTGGAGGTTGAACTTTGATCGACCGTTCATTAGTTGTGCCATCGGTCACGTGTTTGAGTACGATTAACGAGACTTATCCTGGAGTTTGAAGTTAATTAAATGTACAATAAAGTTGATAGATTGAAATAGTGTACAATAAAGTTGATAAACTGAAATAGTGAAATGAAGTCAGCAGTTTTCGATTGGTGATCTACGACTAGAGGGAGCGCACATTGGGAGAACATCAGCTCCGGTGGATCTTCTGTCCGATTAAATCGGGCCGTCAGGTCACATATATAAACACTACTAGACACTACTTACATGCACCTCACTTATCACCTGACTGGTACCCTGTGGTCAACCCTACCTCCTAAAATAGATAAGTGCTTGCTTATTTGTCAGCCATTTTTTGAACATTTATCCATCAAAACCACGCCAATACACGTTATGGAAAGTGAATTAAATATAACGCCCCTGTTTAAGGTACAACAGATTTTCAAACAACAGTCGTATTAACTGATAGCAAGTGTGCTTTTCAACATATTGCTCGATGCGCCTCTGGTCTCAGAGGTGTATCGATAGCATACCATATATTAAATGAAATATTTATACTTCAATGTAAAAACCGTAATTTAGTATTGCAGTGGGTACCATCACACAGCGGTTTACAAGGCAATAAGGAGGCTGACAAACTGGCTAAATTGGCAATTACACAAGGAAGAGAATGTAATATTGATCCAGATTATACAGAAATTTTAATTAAATACCAAGAGAAATGTTATGCACTTTGGAAAGAATATTTTGATAAAAGGTCGCAAGAAAAAGGGATTTGGTACAAAACTATCCAGAGTCAGCCTCCGAAAGTACCTTGGTTCAATCAATGTCTATTGAACAGAAAATCTGTTGTATTAGCAATGCGACTTCGCTCCGGACACATTCCGTGCAACAAGTTTCCTTTCATGATGAAAAAAAAAACAATCTCAAAATTGCGAAACATGCAACACAATCGAAGACATATAACACCTACTCGCGGAATATTCTAAAAACCATCACGAGAGGAAACTACTGGTCGCCAAAACTGACATTAAAATGTACAACATAGGGGAATTTCAAAGTATACTCTCTGAACCACTGTCAGATGCTGCTCAAATGGTTTATCATTTATTAAGTATTGTATAAGTAATTAAGTATTTTTTGTGCTATTTAGTTATAAGGTACAATGGGACTGTCATGTTAATAATAACGAAAGTCCCTTAAATAAAAAAGAATAAAAAAAGTATCCATAGGCCGTTGGGCCCCGTCCTCTGTTGGCCGTGGATGGGATTACTCATGGGCCCTAGTCCAGTTAACCTTTGTTGGGGCAACTCAGGGCGTGAACACACACTTTTCTCTTATCACACTATTTCTCAACCTGTAGTAGTAGTAGTAGTATATACTTTATTGTACACCACACATATACAACGAATAAATACATTACAGAGAAAACTTAATATATACGTATGTACAATAAGGCGGTCTTATCGCTAAAGAGCGATCTCTTCCAGACAACCTTTGGGCTAAAGAGAAACTGGAATTAAGAACAGTATATAATTAATAATACATAAAAAATAATAATAAAATAAACATACATATTAATAAATAGGTATATATATATATATATATATATATATATATATATATATATATATATATATACACATACATATATATACAAAGATAATAAATATTGCTAGAATTGGTTATCAATAACCACAAAGTGTTAGGTAATGCTTCTTGACGACACTTTTGAATCTTTTCAAAGTTTGAGCACGTTGAATTTGGAGTGGAAGTTCATTCCATAACCTTATGGCTTGGCTCGTAAAAGAATATTTCATAAATTTTGTTCGAAATGAACATGGTTCTAGAATTAGTTCGCCGGCTGACCGAAG